TTTTTAATGTATTTTTTCACCCAGCTCCAAACTTAATATTCAGAGTTAATAAATTGCCAGATTAATTGTGATATTTGGTTGTCTATATTTATAATGAGGAAATTAAGATTTTAAATGATGTTTTTGTTTGAAGAATGCTCATATTTCTATGTTTTATAAACATAGTGACTGCAGACACTATTTTATTTCTGAATATATAAAACGAGTCTGTCTTTGTTTAAGTAAATATCTACATATGTGAGTCCTAATGGATCCCCTTAAATAAGACAACTGTTCTTTCACTTATTCTAGGTAGAAAATTTTGGGCTCTTAATGGTTATGACATTATGGAAGGTTATCCCAAAAAAATATCTGAACTGGGATTTCCAAAAGAGGTTAAGAAGATAAGTGCAGCTGTTCACTTTGAGGATACAGGCAAGACGCTCTTCTTCTCAGGAAACCAGGTCTGGAGGTATGGCAGCAATATGTACTGACCCATCCGTGACATAGGTGCAAAATGAGCCTCAAACATCTGTCACTGCTGTAAATTATTCTCACACATCATTGTAAATATCATACCCGTCATTCGTTTCTGTTCCACATCTGCTCTTCCAGGCAGCCTCTCAGACATGTATTTAAATGTCTCAATCCCTCTCGAAAACACACACATACACATCAAATACTCACCTCTTTTTAACCATTCTCTTCTTTCTTAGCCATTTGTTATCTTCAACCATGGCCAAGCCATCTTTTACTTTGGCGCCTCATTCCTTCTTACCTTTCTTCTGGACTCTCTTTCTTGCCACCCTGTCCTAATTTATGTGAGGCTCCGTCTTCTATGGCCAGAGGGACACCAGCACGGGTACAGGAAAAGATTGGTTCAGAAAAGGCTCCCATGTTTGTGGCGTCAGCTGATCCATTGGAAATGTTGATGAGGAAGCTGGTAGGTTTGCAAAGTCAAACTTTCTGAAAAGCAAGTGGATGTGGAACGTATGTAGAGATTCAGGCAGCATTGCCATCGGCAACATTTAGGAGTCCAGATCCAATGTCAATATTTGGGAATGAGAATATCTCATAGATGCGCAACACTCAAAATGTTTAAAATGAAAGCTTCCCTCCATCTCTACATACGCAGTCACACACACAGATACACACGTCCCTGTATATATCATCTTTGCCTTTTGACTTTATTTCTGACGATGACATGGACAACTTTCTAGCAATCACCGCCAGCTTCTTCCTGGTGCAGTGTTCCATTCCCTACACTCCACAAGGAGTAGATGATTTAGTCAGGATAGATTGTGCATCATATCTCAGACACGCTGTGCCTTTATACCCTTAAGCTTCCCTTATGTGATTTTCTTTGCTGGGAGTTCCTTCCCTGCATCCCTTTCTCTTGAAATTCTACCCATTGTTTAAAGTTCGTTTGAAATATCATTTCATCTACAAAGTCTTTTTTGATGACCCCATTCTGAGATTATCTCCCCTTTTCCTGTACTCCCATGACATTTCATGTTCACTCTCACGCTTAACTTCTATTGCCTGGTGTTGCAGTTATGTGTATACATGTCTTAGCTTTCTTGGTATTTCGGTGGGTCTTAACCTTTTACTTGTTGGAACATACCTCAGGATATAAAAAGCTCTCATGAGTAACAGTACCACGTGGGAGCCTGTTCTCCTAGGTTAATTTCAGAAATGCGTTTTGTTGGTCAGGGTGTGGGTGTGGGCAGGGAAGAAGGAGCATGGAATGTGCTGTTACGGGAGGGGAAAGCTATGCTCCCCTTCCTACCTTTGGTGTTACTGTATGTTTCTGTGACTTTTTAGTTCAGAAATTAAATCTTAAATATTTTTGCACCCATTACTATACTCAGCAAGTTGTCTTACACATAGTGGGAGATCAACAGACAATTGTCTATGCATGAGCATACATTTATTTCACTCTAAGAACACTTTCCTGATGACATAATTTTATAACAGATACATTATTTGTAAAATGCAAATGAGTTTGTAACAAAGATGGCCTTTAGGCAAGTCAACAAATACACACCAAGAGTCTGCTATACTCTCAGTATTCTAATTCCTAGTTTTAAAAAGCTATCAGATGTTTTAAGGACTTAAAAATTTAAAGCTCTTGTTAATTTTGAAAGGTGCCATTATATTCACCATATTATTTCTAAGGTAGTTTCTAAGAATTATAACCTACTTAAGAGTTTCTTTTCTTTATTAAATAGGTATGATGATACTAATCATATTATGGATAAAGACTATCCCAGACTAATAGAAGAGGACTTCCCAGGCATTGGTGATAAAGTGGATGCTGTCTACGAGAAAAATGGTAATGAGTTACATTGCATTGACCTTAAAGAAGAGCTTCGAAAGCCCCTCAAAACTCTTTCGTACACAAAGGATTTTTATACAGGACTTAGATGTGCTAATAAACATATGACAGTCAAGGGAATTAATCATTCCTATTTGACTACTTACACAAAAGCAAAACAAAAAAGAAAACAAACAAAAAAAACACCTATGCTTAGAGTAAATGAGAATTTTACTTAATGATTGCTAATTCTATAAATAAGAAATGCCAAACTTGAAATATTACCTTAAATTATGCTTAAATATGGCAAGATGCAAAGGGTATTGCCAGAATTTAAAATGGGGATAGAGTGGGGAGTAATTCATGTATAAAGTCTCATAACTATATAATGATATTTTTGCTCTAATTATGAGAAGGTATATTATCCCTCACTTACAACAAATAACTAGTATCAATAATTCAAGCATTAAAACCAGAACTCATAGCAAGACAATTAATTCTAGGTGACAATTTAGGAGAGCTGAGAACATTTATATTATTAAAAAAATTAAAGCATCAATACATTAAACATTAATAGGGTTTAAAAAGAAAAAGATTGAAATGGTAAAAAAAATGGGATCTAAGGGATTGGACCTTTAATATTTGCTGGAGTAAAATCTTATTATTTTCAAACTCTGAAATGTTCTTTATGGTCTTTTCCTTGTAGGTTATATCTATTTTTTCAGTGGACCCATACAGTTCGAATACAGCATCTGGAGCAACCGTATTGTTCGAGTCATGCCAACAAATTCCCTATTGTGGTGTTAAGTGTCTTTTAAAAATTATTATTTAAATCCTGAAAAGCATTTGAGATAATACTTCCAAGGGTGTGGGAGCAGGGGGAGCAGAGATATCAGGGGAAAGCTTAGTTCTGTGAACAAGCTTCAGTAAGTTATCTTTGACTATGTAGTATCTGTATGACTATACGTGGCTGGAACCACACTGAAGAATTTTAAAACAATGAAATTGAGGATCTCTGAGGAGCATCTGATTCTTGTGTGCTTTACAGAAGCAATGGTC